TTCGAAATTTGGCTAAGGAAAGAAACCTTTAGATACACTAAAATTGAAATTTTTTTAATTTATAAATTATCATTTACAACTGATTCATGAAATCTTAGAATCTTCTAGTGTTTGAAAATTTACAATAGATCGTTTTGTATTGACATATGAAACAACAAATAGAAAAACTCTTCAGAAAATTTGTGTTCTATATGTACACACTAGTCGAAGACCTAGAAAAAGGACTGATTCTCGCTGTATATGTAAAGATTGTAATATCGGTCTTTGTGTTTGTTGATTGTTTCGAGAAATTTCATGTTTTATTAGTACATTTTTAGACTCTTTCAAAATAAATATCGTGCGTCTTTTACATTAAATCTTGATACAAAAATTATGATTAATAATTTTCAACTATAATCAATATTGTAAGTGAAAATCCAAATTTTTTTTGTAAAAATAAAAATCGATCCTCAATCAAAAGGGTTAAACAATCTTATCAAGATCAGAGATACAGTGAAGACTTCTATTAGTCAACACTTTTCTACTCTAAACTTGAACGTTGTTTTTACAATGTCAATTGCTCTTTTAACTTTATTGTTTATTATAATTGTCTTCAGCAAATTTGCGTATATATCAAGACTGAAACAATTCCTATGAGAAGAACAATTTTTTAGATTTTGGGAATAGAAGGATGTGGGTGTGGGTGTGACTGAACTTGTATTTGATATGATTATTTATTTTTTTTCAGTTGATTTTTCTGTAATGGTTCTTAAAATAAATTAATGGCCATTTTCTGCACCACCAAATTTTGTTTTACCAATTGAAGTAAGAGTTATTTTTATCGATATTTTTCAATCATATTTATTAAATTTTTTTTCTGTTAGTGTAAAAAAAAACATTTGAAAGTTTTACTATGTTTTATAATCAACAACATAATAGTCGTAAGTTAGTATCGCTTCATCAACATTCAAAAGGAGATTTACAAACATTGTATACTGAACAAAAACATATTTTACATGTATGTATTGATTTATTCTAAAGAATGAATGATTTTCTTTTTTTTTTTGAAATATTAAAGGTAACAACAAATGAAATGGTACTTTTACTTTTATTTAATAAACGTTCAAGTTGGACAGTTGAACAAATGCAAGATGAAACACAAATTAATGTTAATTTATTCTTGAAAATTCTTTATAATTTATTGAAAAGTAAATTGATTATACGTTCAGAAATTAATAATGATGAACTTCAAAAAGATTTAAACGAAAATGATATTAATATGAATTATAATATTCAGATAGCAAATAATTTTAAAAGATTAGTATATTTTTTTCTAATCATTTGATTTAAGAGTTTATAAGAAAATTGAAAAGAATTTTCGATTTTTGATAATAAGTTTCAAAGAACGTTGTGGTTCTAGTAATACAATAAAATATTTCGTATCGTTGAAGTATCTATTCGATTTCAATTAGAAAGTTTCTTTGAGATCATCAAAGTACGATTCGACCAAGTTCGGAAATTTTGGACTCGGCAGACTTCTTTACAGGATGGTGACAAATGAAAAAATGATGAATAGATAATAATTCATTCATATCTTAGAATAATATGATGGCTAAGAAAACAAGAACAATGCAAACAATATTTGACTGCAGCAAATAATACAGAAAAGCAAGGGTATCTCAAGCAGCGGAAAAGAATCGGGAGTCAACCTCTCTCTCTCTCTCTCTCTTCGCAATCAATCTTGGGATGCTTCTACAGAATGGTAGTTAACGTCGTTACATAGAATTCTATTTTAGTCTTATGATGGATTAGAATTTTTAGATTTCGATTTGAATTCGAACAAAAGTACTACAAAATAGTTTGAGATTTTGTAACGCATGTTCATAAATTCTTATTATGTATGAAATATATAAACGAATTAAAATCACTGATGATTGGCATATTATGTTTTTTGTCATTTTTTAGCTTGAATACTTTTATTCGATTTCTTATTTGTTTACGCCATATTTTTCGTGTTTAACTTTTATAGATTTCTATTCATTTTTATTTAATTCAATCAATTGATAATGAAGTTGTAGATAATGATTCGTTCGACAACAATTGACGTTTATAGATCGTTAAAAATTTCTTCAAAAATTAAATTCACTAATTACTCCATTCAGAGTATTCATTGGAATATCTAGTTTCATTCTATTTCTAATAATTTAACGAAACAACCAATACGTTGATACATAGTGTATATCCGTCTGTGGAGCGAAAAAAAAAGATTGTATAAAATCCCTACTAAGGTATTCACTAGGTTTCTGAAAAAAACGAAAAGAGCCTATGTAATTTCTTTTTGAAATTATAATTATTTTATTGGGGTTCGTTCTGTGTAAGGTATTTACCGAGAAAAAAAGATTGAATGATGAAATTTCAATTCGACCTTCTCTTCAATGTATACGTCTCAGGTTCTTTAAAATATCCGAAACATATACATTGAGAGAATCTTAGATCAAAATTTCATCATTCAATTTTTTTCAGTGACTATCTTACATAAGACGAAATCCAATGAAATGATTATAATTTCGAAAAGAAAGTTACATTGGCCCTTATTCTTTTGCATGTCTTTTTATTTCGCCTGATTCTACTTATGGGCAAAATATGAGATCAAAAACTTTGAATCACTTCGAACAGTTCTCTCGTGGATTTTATCTCTCAAGAAAACTTCATTATTCAAAAAAAGTCGTTATGAAGAATGTTTATTTTCAATTTCCCATTAAAGCTTGAATATCCGAAAGTGGATTAACCAAATAAAGTACAAAAATTCTTTTTGAAAAGTAAAATTTATAGCTTTATAAAACTAGAAATTCTCTATCTTTTGGTATATAAATAAATATTCTCTATGAATCATCTACGAAGTTACGTGATTGTTGAATAGTAGGGTGTGGGTGGGTGGGTGTGATTGTTTATTATTTACTCACACCCACACCCACACCCCACACCCACACCCAAAAGTCAATCGTCAAAGTTATTTTTTTTCAAAAAGTCCTTCGATGTTTAAATTACTTGTAAGTTATGCAATTGTTAGAGTAGGATGTATTTAGTTGGGTCTTTTTTTTGAAAAGCTGTAATAACATGCACCAAACCTTGCAACAATAATATATAATGAAATACACTTTCATGTTTTCAACTTGACCAGGTTATGTGCTGATAGATTTGAATGAAGAATTATTTTGTTTTACGTGTTATTTTTATTTAAAATTATGTCTTGAGCCATTTCAGAGGAATTTGATAATCAATATATTTGAACGTGCATCAATAGCTAAGCACATCATATTTTGTTCAGAACTATACAGCTAATGTAATATGAAGAAACTAATTCAAAATAGTGTGAAAAAATAAACTATCTTATGAAAATTAAGATCACTATCCTCTATTAAGCTTGTGCTACATGTTCCGAATACATAGAATGAATACACTTTCAACTTAAGAATATAGCATTGTGACGTCTCAACAAAATGTGATGATCATTCCTATTTCATAGTTTTGGCATGGAAACATGTCTGTGCTGATATATTCAAAATGCAATTAATCTGAAATAAAACATTGCGATATGTTATAGTTGAATAGAAAAGATTAGCGTCTTTGAGAGTGTCGACAAAAACTAGGAAATTCGGTGCGTATGAGAGCAATGATACATTAAGCTTAATCCAAAATCTAATCATATGAGACAAAGATAAAAGTTTTAAGTGGGAAACTTTATTGTAATTATATTATAAACGGAGTTTTCGATCCTCATATGATCATTTTCAACCAAATAATAAGAGTTTAGATATTAAAAAAAAACGAAACTAGTATTATAATCAATTAAAACACGATGAACATTTAACAACATACACATTAACATCATAGATATTAGTATCATCATATCGATTGAAAAACTAACCTTGATATTAACATATAAGAAATATCTGGAAAGTTTAAGTTTTATAATTCATGTTTGAGTTCTAAGCAATACGTAATAAGTATGTAGAAAAAATGAAAGTAACGACATAAATTTCAATATTTATAAGGTAATATCAAGACTGTTTTTTCAATCGATATAATGATACTAATATCTATGATATGAATGTTTATGTTGTTAAACGTTCATGACGTTTAAATTGATTATGATACTAATTTTCAAATGTTTTTTAATATCTTAAGCCTTGATATTCGGTTGAAAATGATCATTTAAGGATCAAGAATTCACGTTTTAATATAATTATGATAATACTATCTTTGTCTCATTTTATTAGATAAATAAAAATACAGATTGATTATCCAAGTTCACTTTAAAGATCAAATATGCGTGAATAAAACTTAACTACAGTATTCATATGCAAAAAAATTGACAAATGGACAAATATAGATATAACATGGAATCCAATATGATTGGTGTAAATGAAACAGGATAAGATACACACACTATTGTGTGTAGCGTATGAGTGTAGCTTATCTTAATCGTTTATTATATTCAAGTTACAATGTGATTAGATTTTTCTTTCAATGATTTATCATAGAGAAAGAGAAAAATAATCTTATTATTTGTTGTATAAAAAATTACTTCGAATAAATTCACTATTTTATTTGATCTTTTTTTTTCGTATTTAGATCAGTAATTATGGTGAGTACAACAGTTATGCATGATGAACAACAAATTCAAATAAATTTACCCGAGAATCCATCATTAGACATAATATATAAATGTTTACATGAACAAATGCCACGAACATTTGATTTTCATAGACATATTATTCAATTATTTGATCCAACAATAGGAGAATTTTTTGATTTAAATGATGATGGTCTTAAATCATGGTATTGTCTTCCATATAAAGCAAAAAAAACATATGCGTTTACAAATAATTCGTGCTGGTATTGATTATGGTGATACTAATCAACATGAAACAAATACAAATAATAATAACAATATGTCTGAAGTTTTTAAAAAAATTGAACGTGATATTGAGAATTTATTTGGTGCTATTGAAAGTAAAAAATTTTTAATAAAAAAAGAAAAGAAAATTAGAATTTTCTTTTTTTTTCATTTAGATCTTCAAACAACAGCTAATGGTATTCGTCAAGATTTTAAATCAGCTCTTGATAAATATAATAAATATCAACAAGAAAAACTCTTATCAAATAAAACAAATACATCTATAACACAACCATTAATATCAAATATAAATCGATTACAAAATAATATTAATTCACAAGAAAAAAATTTATCATCAACAAAAATTCAAAATGGTAATATTGAACAACGACCAATACGTTATCCAGCTGAAGATATTCGATTTAAAAATAAACCACAACAAGAAAATATTGTACCTATTCCTGTTACACCACAACAAATTCCATTAGTTTCAAATGTTTATCAAGATGATGATGAAGATGATGATGATGCATTAACTGAACAGAATAATAGTAGTACAGCAATTAGTCAATGTAAGTCAACAGTACACTTCACATATGATCTAATAAACAAAAGATTTGATAATCTCATTTTTACGAATTCAATATCTCGTGAAGGAAACATTTTAGTCATATTTAGGCCTATCTATGAGCAAATTATCAAGTCAAAATTTTGTCATTCAATCCTCTTGGGGTATTAGCAGGGTTACCGATTGGGGGGGGGGGGGGTCTAGCCCCCCGCAAAATTTAAAAACACGTATGACTTTCTGACAAAATTTAAAAAACTTTCTGCGGAACTTTTGAAATTTTCCTCAAAAACTGCGTCAAAAATCTAGTTTTTAAGCTTTCTGTGCCATTTTTCTGACAGAAAGTCGAACAAAAACATCTTTTACTGATGAAATCTGGCAGAAAGTCTGTAATTTTAGTACTTTCTGCTTACTTATGCCAGAAAGTCATATGAAGGCACTCTGCCAAAATTTTTGGACTTTCTGCCAAATTTTTAGTCCCCTCCACTTTTCAAAACAATCAGGAACCATGGGTATTAGTAACCAGGGCACTTTTATGACTCGGTCCAAACCCGAAGAAAATTTCGTTTACAAAGATGGAGAGCTGTTGCATATTTTTCATCTTTTAGAAAAACGTGATAACCGAGGGGCGGGGAGCGCGATAACTTTCCCTCCTCAGAGGTGAGCCACATGTCAAAAAAACAATAAAATCGTCGGGCGGGGTGACCCGACCCGATAAAATATTTGTTTGAACCGAATGGCCCATTAGTATCATACACTCTCAGCGCCGTATTACTTAGGACTATTCGAAAAAAATGAGTTAGATAAAGTGGTGATAAATGTCGGATAGCTCAAGTCACTTCAAAATATGTAGCATAGCTACATTTGACTTCATTTTAATATGAAACCTACTGTGTCGAAGCCTTATAAGAAGATAACGTTATTGTGGATCCAACCGAGTCCACACCCGAGATTTTTTTTCCATGAATACTTGGCACTCTTCGTGTGCATGAACAAGTAAAGGATCAAAGTTTTCTCTTAGAAAAAAAAAAACCTAATGTACAGTTATATCTTGTTGCTGTATTTCTCATCTGAGGAGCAGCAAGTCCACAAAAGCGTGTAATAAATAGCCTGAAAGTTTCAGCTGAATGTTTTTTTTTTTTTGAAGACAATTCGATATATTGGCAAAACAATATTCTTTTTCGACTTATCTATGGGAGAAATATTACGTCAGAATTCTGTTTTTTTTAGTATTATTGTTCGTCAATAGTAGAAAATTTTGAAACTATAAATCAATCATTTCTAGTAGTTCTCTCGTAATTATTCTTTGAAATAAATTGACAATGAAGGGGATTGCTAATGGATTATTATTGAATTTTTTAAAATCATACATATTGTTCAAATGTTTTATTACATATTTCTAATCTCTTTATCATTTAATATTAAATAAATGGTTAATTGTATTTTTATTAAAAACTTTGAATCTAAATTTTAGCTTTACCAATAATCGATATTGAAACATTATTATTAAATGTTGGTGAAGATTTTCAAGCACTTGTTTCAATAGCTGTTAATCCATCATATTTCTTTGTTCAAAATACTTTATATACACATGATCTTGAAAAACTTGCTCAAAGCATGAAGTATACTATCGTTATTTTCTTTTCTTTATTTTATTTACTAAATATTTTTAGTGATTATTATTCAACAACTGATCCACCATCAATACCTTATAAACCAATGGAAATGAGTTGTTGTGCAGCTCGTTATTCAGTTGATAATCGATGGTATCGTGCTCGAATAAAACGATATAGTTCTGGTAAGTACATTAAGGTGGATGGGGAAAAAAAAAATGTTTGTTAAACATTTTTTTTTTGTCCATCATTTTATAGAAAAATGAATTCTAATTTATTATTTGAAAATTTTGTTTTTTATCTTAATTAGAAACAACTGTTGAACTTGTTTATCTTGACTATGGCAATAATGAAGAACGTAATATTAATGAATTACGTCCACTTGATCCAGCTTTTTCTCGTTTACCTGCTCAAGCTATTTGTGCAGCACTTGAGGTTTTTTTCTATTTAGAAATTAAATTTTAATTTAATGGCTTTTGACTTTTTTTTTTGTAATAGTTATTACCAATCAATGGTGATAATAATAGTTCATGGACAAAAAAAGCTAGTTTTAAATTTCATGAAGATACATTAACTAAACCACTTGATGTACGTATTATTGCACAACCAACTTTACAATGGTAAACAAAAAAAAAAGACATGATTGATTATGTGATTTTTTTTTTTTGATAAATATTTTTCTTCTAGGCCAATGTATTTTGTACAACTTACAATTGATGAACATACTGTAAAATAGAATTTGAAAGATATTCTTTATTATTATAATTTTATTTAGGATGTTGCTGAAACATTAATATCATTACGTCATGGTCGACGAGCATCACTTGCTGAAATCGTACAAATTGTTGGTCCTCGTCTTGATCTTAATGATTTTGCTGCTTATAATTTACCAAAAGAAAGTTCGTTAATTATATGATAGAAGGAAATAGAAAAAAACCCACCCGAGTATATATATTTTTTTTTGATAGTTCTACAACAAGCAACACATCTCATACTTTCTCAAAGACAATCACATAATGTTTCAAATATGTCGAATGTTATGAAACAAGATGGTGGAATGCAGGTAATCACTTTATTGATAATCGAAAATTTGAAAAAAAATAAATTTTACTAATAATATTTTGTTTTTGAGAGAAAAAGTGCGTGAGAAGAGACCTTGGTCTAATTTTTTTCTTCAAAATTGTTGTGAATTATTCGATGCAGTTTCATGTGTTGATTTCGAATATACTATTTTTTTTGCTCGCAGAAAATTCACTATGCAGTTCAGAAATGTTTGCTACATAGTAGCTGAAAGAACATTCTGACAAAATTTGGAGATTAGATTACTCATTTTATGAAATTAGCTCTTTATTGATTTATCTGGTGAACAGTTTAATTTTGTTAGATATCAATTTTCAGACAACAATTTCCTGTAATAAAAATTATTTATACCATTAGATAGACTATATTTCGAAGTATATAAATATTTAAAAAAAGCATGGTTCTCATTTTTAATCAAATGTTCGCCTAGATGCTCATTATGCCTTTCCCATAGACCGTATATCAATAACGTTCTCGTTCTTGAAGAAACGTGTTTCTAAATAGAATAAAGCAATCTTCTTGTGATTAGACAGAGCTTGCCGTTCTAACAGTTTTTATGTATAATATATTATTATTATTCTAGGGTAAAATTTCATCAAATTTATCCGGTAGAATTTCTCGTTCAAGTAATCTTCCATTGATTAGTTTAAATTTAAATGAACATATTGGTTCATGTACAATAACATCAATAACATCACCATCACATTTTTTTATACAATTAACAGAAAAAAATAATTTCGAACAAATTTATAATAGTGTTAATGGAACATATCTCGAACGTATATCATGTGATCGTATGACACGTTTAAAAACATTTTCATTAAATACATTAGGTGTTGCAAGAAATAATCGTGATCAACGTTTTTATCGTGTACAAATTATAAATTATGATCGTGAACGTAAAACATTACTTGTACTTTGTTTTGATTTTGGTGAATATATAACAATACAAGAATCATCATTATATGAACTTATACCTGAATATCAAATATATCCACCACAATTTATTAAATGTTCATTAGGTTTAATACATTCAATTAATGAAGATTGGTCACGTGAAGCTATTAATTTAATGAATCGTTTTATTGGTGGAAAAGGTTTTAAAACATTTCGGTTTTATTCATTAAATACATCAATACAAACAATCAAGTAAAAAAAGAAAAAGGACATGTTCCAATAAGGCTGGTTTTTTTTTGGTCTACGATACTTTTGACTTTTATCTATCTGAAAGATGTCACAGGACTACTAAAAATGTTTCCTAAGACTTAGTTTTACAAGATTTCAAAGTGCGTTGATCACGAATATCATATTCGGTTGAGTTTTGTATATAAAAACGTCGCTTTTTTTCTTTTTCAAATATGTGAAAATATTTGCTTTATCCATTCCAAATCGATTCAGTTATAAAAAAGAATTGACACAATTAGAAATTAGTATAAAAAACTATGTTGAATGGTACACACGACTGTTTGATACTCGAGCATTTTATCGTGTGTCAAGGTCACACAAAATGATGAATCATGAAGCTTTCTATGCGATATTTCAAATTGTATCGATTTGGAATGGATAAAGCAAATATTTTCGCATATTTTGGAAAGAAAAGAAGCAATATTTTCATATATTGATAGGCCAATATATGGGAAAATGGGGTTAGCAATAAAATACAAAACTCAACTGAATATGATATCTGTGATCAGCGCACTTTGAAGGAAAGAAAAAGTGACCACACTAGAACATGTCCTTTCTTTCAATAAAAGAAACAAAAAAATTTTTTTTTTGTTTTTCTCTTATTTTAAAGACTTGGTGATCCACTATTACCTATTATATTATGTGATATGAATATATCAATTAATTCAATAAATGAACAATTAGTTGAAAGAAAACTTACAATACCTGATTCAAATTATATGGAATATATACGTATTGCTAATGATGCAATGAATGATTTAAATGGTTATAAAAATCAACGTATTAGACAATATATTGAATCTCAAAGAACTTATACTCAACAACAAACTGATAAAATTCAAACATCATCATCAGTTTTTATTGAAAGAAATCCAATTGATGTTCGATATGAACAACCACAAAAAAACCGATCAATAATTCAACTATTAATACAACAAATATGGAACCACTTCCTCTACCTGAAAATGAAGGTTAAAATAAATAAATTTTTTTCTTCATTCGAAAAAAAGTTAATCATTGTCAAACATCTAAATCAACATAGATCTAGTAAAATACAGCTATAGACAAAATTAGTCGTTCCCTCCCCGCATGAAATGCTATTATTTTTTATGATATTGAGCTGATACTCTTCTATTCAATATTTATGATAGATAAACTTTGATGCATCATATAATTCAAGAGAAATAAATTTTTATGAAAACAGTCGAATCTTACGTTTAAAATATGATGCTTTTTTTTTTGTTGACATTTTTATGATCATACAATTCAGAATTCTCGAATGAGTGTGGATACATCTGAATGAAAATTGATTTTTTGAACGAATGGGAAGACCTAATTCATTTTTGCTTGTTTGATATAGAAAATTTACCATATTGTCCACCTGTTGTCGAACCGGAATTACGACATTGGTATGCTGTTGAAGTAACACATGTGAAATCAGTTGGTGAATTTTATATTCGCTATCCATTTGGTATTGATACTTCACTTGGTCAAGGAAATAAACGTATGTATTATCTTAGTATTGACTTTACTGATCGAAGATTTTAGAATTTTTGAAAAGATAATTTATTTGTTCGATTTTTTTGATTTTGATATCTTCTTTGTTGTTTATATCAAGAGATTATCTTACTAGACAACGATCATTCTTAAGTCTATACACAAGTTATGAAGTTTACTGCTTTTTTTTCTAACGAAATTCTGTGTTATATCGGAAAAAAAGATTTGAGTAGCTGAAACAATGTTCTATGAAAAGAGCTGTGTTTTAAATTTATATTAAAAATTTTGAAGATAAGATCTGTGTAAAACCAAGACTCTCAAAGCCAGGATTGAACGAACATTTCCGAACAAAATAAAAGACCTCTCCGAGTACTCCACGATCAATCTTTATCGAATTGCGCTCATACTATGAGAGACCTTAAAAGCATTTCTCTGTTGTTTTAAAGATTTCAATCAAGGCGATTATAAATTTTTCGATGATCACTGTATACTAAAGTTTTTCTCTACAAGCTTACATATATATTTCCATTCTGTAGTCAAAAGCTTATAGTCACCTTTACTATTTCACGTTTTGAAGTCTCGCATAGAATGAGTGCAGTTCGATGAAGATAAATCATGAAGAGCTCGAAGACGTCTTATATTGTTCAGAAATGTTTGTTCAATCAAATGAACTTATTCGTAAAACATTTTTGGTCAAAAAACAAAATTTTTAATAGAAATTTAAAAAGTAACTCTTCTGATAGGAAATTTTTTTCAGCTACTCAAATCTCTTTTCCAGATTTCTCATTGCTATTACCGTTCAAATAAAAATACATTATGCTTAAACTTTTTTTACCTCAACTTTCTGGATGTTCGTTAATTTTCATAGAATCGGTATCTGTTTTATATTAGTACAAAAAGATGAGACTTTGAAGAGTAGATACCAGAGTGTATAATATTAATGTTTTATTAAGAAAATTCAATCTTAATATAATTTTTCTGTATCTTCTAGCTGCACTTTATTCCAAAGAAATCGAACCAAATCAAATGATATTTAAAGTAGTGGTTATCAATATCCCGATTTATATTCGAATGAAAATGATGATTTTGTTATAGCTGGTGCTAGTGGTCGATTTTC